AGAAAATGCGTAATTGTAAATTTTCATGTCTAGCTTTGTTTTTAAATAAAATATTTTGAAATTTTCGCTTGTTGCAAGATATTTCGCATAAGAACGCGTACGCCCACTAAACTGTTCCAGTACCCATGAACTGAAATGTAAAACCTAAAATTTAAAGCAAGGTACTAACCATTGAATGATATTTTATGTAAAAAAATTAATGTCCACGAATATGAGAAACGTCTTAAACTTATATGATCCGTAATCGTTTCAATGCATTTCCTTTACACTTTTCTGAGTTGTGGCTTCTATTTAAAGAAATTTCTTGTTTTTACATTACTAAATAAGATATTCTTAATAAGAACTGTTTTTTTTAGAAATTTCATTGTTATTCAATGTATGATCGTTAACTATTAGTGGTCAGTGACTCGTTAGTCCTTTTAAAGAAATGGTTATTTTAAAAAAAATTATTATTGTTCTTAAGATACAGTATTCTTTCTAAACTGATTAACAAATTCTAATAAATTGATAGCTCATAAATCACAAAAAATTCACAAAATGCCACTCGCCTATCGGGCTTATAATTTTTTTAATAGTTTTCTAGATTTAAAAAAAAAAACTTGTCTATTTCGAAGGGCTTATTCAAGCTCTAAATCAGTGTTCGCGGACCGCTACCGGTCCGTGGATCAAATGGTACCGGATCGCTCATTTCATCGAAACTAAATTTAAATTCCTAGGTTTATACCCCAAATTAAAAATATCTGTGCTCCATTAAAATTTTATTTATTTAAAAAAAAGGGGCCCCCGAAGGTAGTGACATAAATTTTTTAATGTTTGTGATGTATCATTGTCTCTGATTACCCTCAGATGGAACCGTCTCATTGCAAAGAAACAAGCTCAGGGTTCTCATTGATTTAACGTTCTAGTAAGTTAAAATTTTAAATCACTTTATATTTATTTTTTTGGTGCAACTGTACTTTATTTTGAAGGCATGTTTAAATACAATTAAATTAAATTAATAAATCAAAATAATCTGAAATGTAAACAATGAACCCCCCCCCCCAGCGGGCCGTGGTAAAATTATCAAACGTTGACAGGCCCGTGGTGATAAAAAGGTTGGGAAACACTGCTCTAAATTATTAAAAGCATCGATTGTTACCTTATGCAAGTCACCAAGTTGTGTTTCTCTCCTAAAAAGTGTTACGTTTGCTGTAAATGATTGCGTTAATTTAGACTTTTACACTTTATTCAGAAATTTTAAATTTGCTTTTTAAGAAACTAAGTGATGAAATTGGAAAAAAAAAACAACAAATAAAAACGTGAAAATAAAATTTCATAGCTGGAATAAAAATTCTGTAATTTTATTAAAAAATTCCATACAATCCTTTGGATGTCAAAGTTAGGGTAAATGTTGAATCGAATTTTGAGGATTGATTGGAGGAAAATTGAGTTTTGGAGAAAATTGACAAACTGATCCGAAGCCTTTCAATTGCAAAATTACTGAACACATTGAATCGTACACTGAATTCAATCGTACATTGAATTGAACACTGAACACACTTTTAAGAATCGTATATTGTACACAACTATCTTGATCAAATCTGGCAGATTCAAGGTAGAACAGTTCAGCTCCAACAATACTTCGAATCCTTTCCCTACCTTACACCACTTTCCCCTAAATATTACTTAAAGTAACAAGATGTGAATGCAAAACATGGTTTATAATACCCAGACTCATTTTAATTCGAAATGACGTCATTTATACCCTTGAGTCATGCAAGAATATGCAGATAAAATTGAAAGTTTAACCTCTGTGACGTATTGGTTTCCCCAACTAACCAGCTTTTCTCGTATTTTTCAGTCTAAACATATCACGACGATGGTAAAGGAATACAAATAAGATAACTCTAAACGAAAGTGTTTTATTAAGTAGGGCTCTATTTATAAATAAAGAAAAGATTAAGTCAGTTGGGAAAAAAATATGTGGAGTCGTTCACATCTAAAGGCTTCAAGGGCGCCGGCAGCGGGGTGCAAGAGGGTGCACTTGCACCCCCCCTGACTTTTCTTTTTTTAAACAATTAAAGAGATACAGAAAAACAATTTTGTTATAAAAAAATTTTATCAAAAATACTTTTATTCAAAATCAAATAATTAAGTAATTGTTGATACATAACAATAAAAAAATTCTTTAATCAAACAAGAATTGTAATCGTCTTGTTTGCTGTCCTAATCTGTTTATAACTTTTTCAATGAATTCTGAGTCATCTTTGATTCTTTCCTTATGCAAACTGAGCTTGCACAAACTTGGCAGATATCTGAGCTATATTTTTAAATTTCATTTAATAAAATATATAAATAATATTTCATTTTCTATTAGTTACTTAATTTAACGAAGGTATATAACACAAACTGACTTCTCCCAACTTTAAAACTTCATCAACACAATAAATACCAATGTTTAGCGTGCGCAAACACGTTATTATGCAAAACTACTGCTTGTAGTTGTTTGTGTTTTAAAGTCAGTAGCTATGCCAGCGCCATCAGTACAGTTTCTCGTGGCAAAATTTGCAAGTACAAGAAATTCGTACTCTTTTTTTTAAATATCTTGTTAACAATGTAGAAATGTCTCTTGAAAAAACTTAACAGATGAAAATATATGTAATAACAAAACAAAATGCAATAACAGAATATTTAAAAATTTTTTTTTGGGTGGGGTATAGTTTGTTAGATGGTTGCACCCCCTTTTATATTATTCTGCCGGCGCCCTTGAATGGCTTTTTACTAAAAATACTTTATTTTAATCACTAAAAATATGATAGAAATTTCTTGAAGAAAGCAAATTTCCCCTGCACGTATAATTTTATCCGTTGAAAAAGTAAAAGTAAAATAAGTCATTATTCTAAACCATTTAAGCTTGTGTTTGTTTGTCAATAAAATAGTAAAATATTTTCGTACTTATCTGTTTTGGGGGTCATGAAAAATTGCTAAAATCTTATTGAGATCAGTGATACTTAATTAATGGAGATAAGTGGTGAGTATTATTTATCATCACAATTAAATGCACTGTAAAAAAAAAATTCGAATATCTTAACCCTTTAACGCCGATGAAACACCGGTGTCATTTCTATATATATTTTTTTCTGACACTCTAAATTACAAGCAAAAATATATTTTGGCATGTTTTAATCATAAAAAAAATCTTCATAGTTACCAAAAAAATCTGTTCGATTATCGGAGTTATATTTGTATTAAAATACAAAATTCATAAAAAGGTAGTTAGAATTTTATTCAATCATATTCAAATATAACAAATAATTGATTTTATAAATTAAAAAATTTTAACTATGAATACCTGTTTCCCTTAGATCTAAATACTGCAAATACGTGTAATTTCAAAAAAATATTTTGTTGGTGAGTAAGCCATGTTTGGCAGATTTTGCCTTTAACGCAGAAAAAAAACATTGTTGTATTTCATAACCACATATTATTAAAATGCTAAATATAGTATTTTTCGCTTATTTTAACCTAAATTAATGCAAAATAACGAGCAAAGTGTGAAAAATATGTTTAATAAAAACTCTGCTCTAGTTGGTTTAAAAAATAAAGTGCTGACAACTATTTTACACCAAAGTGATGTTCCGTTACACAAAAAATGGTGGTTTATACTTTTTGGTGTTGAGTGGCAGTCAAAATTTGTTTGTATTGAGTAGCATTAAAACTTATAACTTAACTTATAATTATAAGATAAGAGGAACATATCTGTCAGTAAAATTATTTTAGCTAAACAATTTAGAGAAAGAATCATTAATTTAAAAGTATATATTCACATAGTTTTTCTGTTCCTTTAGGAAAGTTTAATGTGAAGGCATTTATGAATCTAAATTTTTTTTTATATATTCTTACTTTCAATTCCTTTTATTGAATTTCTATACAAATACTTAAATAAATGACTGGAGCTTTCAAAACTCTTCCGAATTGAAAACCATATGATAAGAAGAGGATCAAAATTGAAAAAATTAAAAATCGATTCTGTAGATTCAGAGTGAAGTTGACATAAGGAACATAAGGAAAACAACCTCATAAGTTACTGGAAAAAGTAAAATAAATAAATAAATAAAAACATTTTGAACCGTCACTTTATCTATTATTATTCAAGAATCTTTAAATGTTTCAGAATGTCGATTGCCTAACTTCCACCATTCAATAATAATGCCATATAAAAAAGCCTCTAAACGCAGAATAAAAGTAGACTAATCGATCATTCAATTTGTTATTATTTAAAAGTGTTTTAATGTCTTATTATGATACCAACCATAGCACCATTCAGTCATTATTGCCGATATGAAGAGGCCTATAAAGGAGCTACGAACAATAAAAAACATATGATAATTGTTTACGTAATGTATTTTTTATCAAAAATACTTTTAAATGTTTTGTTTTATCATAACGACAACCAAACAAGCATTCAGCAATAGACAAGCTTGCTGATATAAAGAAGTCTCTTAAGGTGTTACAAAAAGTGGAGAAAAAACATACACTAATTATTACCTTAACGTATGATGATTTAACACTAGAAAGACGGAAAATTAGTATATACCTATATTGCCGAAAAGCAGTCAAAATGACTAGATTGTGAATGCGTCAATAAATTTGTTTAAAATTAATTTTATATATTTTATACATTTTATATATTATTTACAGTTATATAACAAGTTATTAGTAAATGTTAACAATGAAAAAAATTATATGTTGTTCAAAAAGTCACAAAATTTTAAGAAATCATGTCATTGTATACCTCATTGTTTTTCTAATTGAAATTAAAAGCAGTCAAAATGACTTCCTTAGGCAATCTAGTGTTAAATGTGTTTCATAATGCCAACAGCCTAACTACAGACATTCAGTCATCATGTAAATATGTGCCCTTCATTCTTCACATAAAGAGCTTCCGATTCAATTATGTTGCGATTACATCGGTTGAAAGAAAAAGTGAGAATAATCAAAAGCACATTGTTATTCTATGGGTTTCACTCAATGCCATCGAAGTGTTTAATTCAAAATCATGTATTCGATACCCTTCGCACATGCAAACTTTTAAACAAATGAAACTATAAATATACCCTGTCAATTGACGACTTTTAAACTAACACGGTTCTTTTGCTTATTTCAATCATTACGGCGAGAATAAGTTGTTAGGTATTTAAAAGGGATAGTAAAGGGATAAGACATACTTTATGTCGATTTAAAATTGCTGTTGAAAGGTAAGATAAAATATTATAGTTTTATTGTATTTAAACTTTAAAAGTTTGTTTCAAACTAATGGTGCGCAATAGAATAGGTTAAAAAAGTCTGAATATTTTAAATCCTTTAGTGGTAATGTGTTAAAAACGTCTACTTGAATCATAGAGAAGTATTCAAAGTATCATAACTCTGTATTGATAACTGTTATCGTCTCAGTTGGTCATATTTGAAATTTAAAATTCTTAAAAATAAAAAATAAAAAGATATCTACAAAATTACAGGTTATCTTTATGGGCTTGCGACAAAGCTAAAAATATTTTATTTTTTAACAGCCATGCGCATGTTTGAAATTTTGATTCTTTAGAAAGAATCAGAAAAATTCATTCTTCAAAAAAATTCTGATGAATCATAGTGATTTTCCTGTATCATTCTGATGAATCATGGTGATTTTCCTGTATCATTCTGATGAATCATAGTGATTTTCCTGTATCATTCTGATGAATCAGAGTGATTCTTCAGAAAGTGTGACATTCGAAGGGGAAGAAAACGATTCTAAAAATGTAGTAAGCAATTATGAAATATTCTTTTTAAATACCATTTATAAATAACATTAATCTACTTACTCTAGATCTGCGGCTTCCAAACGGTGTCCCATGGAACCCAAGGGTTCCGTAGAAGATTTAAGGAGTTCCAAGAGTTAGGAATTTTTTACCATTTTTGAAAACTCTAATTATATTCAGATCCAATCAATAAATCATTATTTACTTAATATATCGGATGTCCTTACGAAATTATATAAAGGATAGCCAATGGAAAAGAAATAGTAAATATTTTGGAAAAGTAAATATAATTTCTGTTGTAATATATTGAATAAATTATTTAAGTATTTCCCATTGCGATCTTCAAACCAAAATAAAATAACAAATTTGTTAGTAAAGAAATGTGTTTCCTAATAACCATTCTCAACGTTTGCTCAAGTTCTTTTTAATTTTCATTTCAACGAAACAATCATGCTACTAATTTATTCATTTTCAGCTTATGCTTATGGACCAAAAACAATTCATATCTAGATTATATTCAGCTCTAGTACTGCGAATTCAACTGTCGGACATAAAACCAAATTGATTAATAATGAAAAAAGATGAAAAAATTCTTCTTATTAAATCTTTTGAAAATTAAACATTTCTTTATTAGTTAATAAATTAACAATTGTCTTTTAGTAATTTTTAATTTTTAAAAATTAGTAATCTTTCTCCTGTTTGTATATGCACAACTGCTAACGATCTTAATTTATGAAGTTGGAGTTCTGCTAAAAGAAGGTTGATCATTTAGGGTTCCACAGGCAAAAAATAATAGAGAATCACTGCTCTACATTATCTTGAAACATACATTGTCACAGCAAATGCATGTACCCTACTAGATATAATATTCCACCTTATCAACAGAAAATTTAAATAAATAAATTGTTTAATGGTTGAAATTTCACTTGTTTCGTAAATATATATATATTTTTTTAATATTTGCATTAAAAAAATTCAGTGGAAATTATTATTTAATGTTAATGTCTCGAACAAATCTCTAACGTCTTATTAATGTCTGAATTAAAATCATCAAAGGTATCAGTACAAAATCTTTTAAGGTAATAAATTGACAAATTAATAATAACCTGCGAGCTTTCAGTAAGCTATATAATTGTTTGAGTCAGGGGATAATTTAAATAGGGAATTTAAATGTAAAAACGTTGATTCAAAATTAGCATGTGTTTTGTTCCGAAGGATTTGAAGTTTTGACCCTCAAAATCCATACTATAAGGAAAACATAGACAAAATAGTCCAATTAAAAATTTCAGCTGCATAATGTTAATTTTATTTTTTTGCATATTTTCGCATACCTGGTACTATTTATTTTGAATAAAATATTTTTTGCAAGTAATTGTTAAGTTTTTTTTTTAAAGAGAACTCCAAGAAAAAAAATTAATATTAAGTATTATTTATTGTTTTTTTAATTTAATTTAAATGAAGAGCTGAGTAGAAGATTATAACTGATATTTTAGTAAATCTAAGATATTTAGACTTTTAAGTTTGTACGTTGACAGTAGCTAAGAAATATTATCCGTGCCTTTATTTCTTATCCTCAAGCTGCCGAAAGTTTGAATTTTAGAGGTTACTCGTCAATTGTTTGTTGCTAAATGCACTTTGAAATATCTTTCCGTACCAAATTCTAACTCAAATATTGTCAAATTAGTACCTTTTTTACTGATATATGTGGAATTTCAAGACCTGGCAGAATAAATTAGTAGTATGATAATAAATTAACAGTATAATAATAAATGTTATAGAATAAATTGTATAGTACAATAAAAAAATAAGACTCATTTTCCAAGACACAAATACCCGAAACTTTTAAAGAGACTATTCAAGACCGAAATACCTTAGTTTTTTCAAGGAAACTATTCAAGACCAAGATACCTCATTTTTTAAAGAGACTATTCAAGTACAAGATATCTCATTCTTTAAAGAGACTATTCAAGTCCCAGAAAACTCATCTTTTAAAAAGACTATTCAAGTCCGAGATAACTCATTTTTTTTAAAAAAGACTATTCAAGATCACGATTCATCAATTTTTTAAAGAGACTATTTAAGATCAAGATACCTCGTTTTTAAAGAGGCTATTCAAGTACAAGATAGCTCATTTTTTAAAAAGACTATTCAAGACCACAATACATCAATTTTTTAAAAAGACTGTTTAAGATCAAGATACCTCGTTTTTAAAGAGACCATTTAAGATCAAGATATCTCATTTTTTAAAGAGACTATTCAAGTCCGAAATTACTCATTTTTTTAAAAAGACTATTCAAGACCACGATACATCATTTTTTAAAGAGTCTTCAAGACCAAAATACCTCAGTTTTAAAGAGACTATTCAAGACTTAGATATCTTCGCTATAGATGGCACCACTGGAAAGCAAAAACAATTGCACCCCTTGCCTTAATGACCTACAACAACAACAAGACTTAGATACCTTAATTTTTTAAAGAGACTATTCATGACCGAGATACCTTACTTTTTTTAAAGAGACTTTTTAAAAAAAAGCCACCTACTAAATTTTTTGAAATTATTTTATCATATCTCAGCTTTTTTCTCTTACCTTTACATGATATATTCACATTTCTGATTTTCTTTTTATTTAAAGTCAGATAATAATATGCTGAAACAAAAGATAGCAACAAAAATATATTCAATTTGCAGGGTAATAATATAACCTTGTAAATTTATTTTATGCTCTTTCAGATTTTATTCTACCTTTTTTAGATATTCAAATAATAACGCCTACCGATATTTTATATTTTTAGATAAAAAAAACTCAAGATGAAGTTACAATTGAAAGAATTTCCCACAATCCTGTTGATATTGTTCAGGTTTCTTATAAGTTTAGAATGTTTCATAATTCCATCATCTGACGTGACATACGAGGATATCAAAGCTCTAAATGCCACATGTAAGGGTTTGGACTCTTGTGAATTACCCAGAAGAAAAAATGCTCACGAGCACTGTAACTGTGACAGCTCATGTAGTCTTCTTGGAACTTGCTGCGTAGACTCAAAATATAGACTAAGTTACGTATCACCTCTAAAAAACGTTGAATGCGCCTTAAATATTTACGATAACAAGTACCACTATGTACCCATGATAAACAGTTGTGATCAGGATAGAGTAATATACGACAGAACTATTGAGAAATTCTGCAACAGCTCTGCTGAAGAATTAAACGATCCTTTTTTGAAAATACCCGTTACTGATCCCGTAACAGGTATCTCATATAAGAATTACTATTGCTTTGCTTGCAATGAAAATTTTGGCAGAGAAGAACCAATACCATGGAATCTAAAAATACAAAGTGGTTGTATACATAAAGAATTCAATACCACGTCAATACCACCCCTCCGTTATGATAGTTACAGAAAGACATGGGTTATGAACTATGACGGACAGATTATCATGGATGTTTCTTTGAACACCACCATTCCAGAAGAACTGAAACATGTTACGCCTTATTGTTACAATTTTCGAGTCATCACAGACTGTGCATCAACGTGGGCTGATTACAGTGTTGAGGAGAAGTGTGCCGCTTACATGGCTCTGACAAGAATCTTGAGCAAAGATGGTTTTTCTGTTCAGTACTATCGAAATCCACATTGCGCCATTTGCAACTATGAGAACATCGATGACATGGTTTGTCTGGCAACGGAAGAAGTTTATGATGGGGAAGATACGAAAACTGATGTTTTATCCATTAAATTATTCTCTCTTGAAAGTGCAATATGCACGTATTCTATGGTATACGATCACTTTGCGAAACAATGCAGAAATATATACACACGAAGGAAGCGATTTCATCAACTTGGGTAGAAATTTTTATAAAGATTGAAACCGTGACAAGTTGTTATGATATAAAGGAACCTGAAGCTGTGAAAAAATTAAAATATATACCAAAAAGAATAAGAATGTATCCCATAAAGAATATAGCAGTCACATTAAATAACCTTAATAGTGTGTTAACAGGTAAATCTTTTCGATGTTTAGAGAAATTTCTCAAGATATCTGGAGATGTTGCCATGCTTGTATAGCAATCATGAAAGAATATCAAATAGATAGGAATATCTGCGTAACCTCTGTTTCATTTAAAACTAAATAAAATAGAATTTGGAACATACTGGATAGCGTTACCTTATAAATTGAATCATATTACAATATCAATTTATTATGTCTATAACGTGATTACAGGATGCTGTCATTCAAGCTCCAATCCTATGCAAATTTAGGGAAATATAATTAATCTGTATAATTTTAACTGAGCATTTAACCTCAGGATCAATTTCAGTTGTAAAAAAACTGTATATTACTATCAAAACCCTTTAAAATGTTGTATTACGTAGGCCTAAAAGTATATAATTTCCTTCATTGTTCTTGATAATCTACGTATATTACTCCGTAATTTAGAGCTACATTTTAATTTTGATGCTTAATAATTCACGCAAAAGAAGAAAAAAGCGTTTTGTTAGTGAGAAAGCTGAACACAATTGAAATTACCCTACAATCTATGCTGAATAGAGCTATTCATAGATTCAACGTTCTTGTTATTTTCTAGAAAACTAACCTCATTTTTATAGATTTTTTTCTTCTTATTTTCTTTTTTCATTCAATTTTATGTAGTTTCAATAGATTTTAAAAAGTCTTGATGGAATAAAGGACTAAGAAATTAAGTTGAATCGAAACCTTGAAATTTTAAATTCTGCACATGAGGAAATATTTTTTTTTTTTACAAATGAATATCAAAGTTGTATTTAAATGTAACAAAATTAGCACGTAATGTATATTAAATTAATTAACTGTATATAAATGTTTCACTAATATGTATATGTGATCTATTATTACATATTTATTTTATAAATAGTAACATTACAGCCACAAAGCTAGATTAAAATACAATAAAGGAAGAAGCGAATTCAGATTGTGAAGCGATCCAAAAGGAATTTTATTTTATAACTATCGTTGAACTGCCGACCCGATTTTGGGTATACGACTACAAATGTTCAACTCCGGAGCCCAGTGATTTTGAACCCAATCCAGACGACAAGGAAACTCCTGGATCAGTACCCTCAGAGGTATGGTTTATTATGAGAATATGGAGGACTCTGTAACCCGACAAATTTAACGTGCATCAGTCACCATTTACTAATATGGGAGTCTTCAGCAGGCGTGGATCGAACCCACGATCTCTTGGACATGACCCAGTTCCCTATCAACCAGGCTATCCCGGCCTCTCCGAAAGGAATTGCAAATTTCTGTTCTAGAAGGTGGTGAGCGCAAAGGAAATTTCGATATAAAAATTACTTTAATTGCTATAAACACGTGGTGAGTTCACAGTAAAGAGTTGTAAACGATTAATAAAATCGACAATAATATTTATTTTTCTAATTTGCATATTTATTTTTAGAAGTTTGCGTGTATTGAATAACAGCATTAAAAGGTTATTCAGTCAATTTTTAAACGACTGGCTTTAAACCTTGGTAAACATTGCATATTATACAATATTTTTCATGTCTATAACAACTGGTATTACATAAAAAAAAAATTCGACGGAATCGCTGGGGGCAAGGAAACCACATTTTTTTCTTCAAGGTCAGAAGGCTTCTTAATTCAAGTCGCACATTCGATACGCTTGAAAATTACTAATTATCTAGTCAATGAATATTACGCGGGAAAGTATTAATGAACGCATTCCGGTTTTGGTATTGATTCTATCTTGTTTTCCTTGAAAATCTCTGGTATTTGAGTTCAGAACGGTGACAATCTTCGCCAAGCAAACAATAAAATGAATGAATGATGATAAAATGCACGTGAAAGGGATATTTCTTAAAAGCATCGTTATTATTTGATTATCTTCAAAGGTAAGCTGAAACAAAAAATAGTTTTCTCCTCATTGTATATGTATATAATAAGTAGAAATAGCATTGAGTTTTTCACAATATATAAACTGTTGCCATCGCATAAAATGTCAGGTATTGTATACAATGCCGGACGTTTTTAGACAAAATATTATAACAAGAGAATTATTCTATTTATTATTCCATTGCTTTTAAATGCCTTAGTATTTTATAAAATGCTAAATGATTTAAATAGTCGAGCTACGATAAAATAAAAGGTGTTAAATAGTAAAGGTACGAAATATGAGAATTTTATACTCTTTTTTAGCTAATGTACGAAATACCTGGTTTTTTATTAGTCATTTCACAAAATATCTAGGCAACATGTGAAATATTAATGTTTTTTTTCCTTAGGCAGTTTGTAATTAATAATTCTATAGTACGCCTGGGCAATGTGCGAAATGATTATCCTCTCAAAATTTACAGGATGATTTTAGGCATTCTATACAATTAATAAGCAGATATGTATAACATTTGGCATATTTAACATTAGCTGTAACAGTTATCGCCTATGTATAAAACGCCACCTTAGCATAAAATGTCAACTCATTGTATACAATGCCGGAACGTTTTTAGGCGAAATATTATAATAATATAATTATTCTACACTTAATTCAATCATTGTATAACCTACCAAAACATATTTTAGAATGCTAAATGTTCTTAAGGCAAGGTACGAAATATGAGAATAGCACAATTTACTTTGCCATTGTATGGAATATCTGAAAGGGTTTAATTAGTCATTTAACGAAATGTCTTGGCAATGTGTGAAATATCAATGATTTTTTTCCTTGGTCAGCTTTTCAGTAATCATACCATAGTATGCCTAGTCGTGAAATAATAATCTATTCGAAGTTTGTTGATTGATTTTAGACATTGTATACAATGATTATGTAACTATGCGAACTATGGAATGCAGTTCATACAATGACTACAACATTTATAATAAGTTTATGTGTTATCTATGTATTGCTTATAGAAATATTAAATTATTTATATACGTTAGATAGGCATTGTTTATTATGAATATTATTTTATCTTTGTTGTTTACTCCTAGTTTGTACATTCACTCCTATGGCCAAAATTATTTTGTTAATCTGTATGCTTAGTTATATGTAAGTGCGGCAGCCTATAACTAAAGTGGGAATATTTGGGTCATGAGTCCCTTTTCGTAATGAATTAAGTTATAAAATGTCAGCAATTTTGATATTTGAAATACATGTTATGAAATAATTTAAAACTCTGCATATCTTATAATTAAAATTATTTGGCTAATGTTTCGTAATAAATTCACTTTAGATAACCGAGTATTGTTTTTCAGTTTCTTGTTTTGTATTGAAGCTATTTAACAAAAAAAAAATTTATTTTTGTTTTGTTAAATGGCTCCAGAGATAATGTACGCAAAAGAAATTTGCATATTGGATTCAAGCTTTTAAATGATGACCTGACTAAACTATTATTTGGGTCTTACTGTGTTATATATTCCAGATTGCAGCCATTTCTCCTCCCAAATTTTATTAATAGAAAGTCCAAATCCTTCTGGGTACAAGTATGTTTATTAGGAAGAATGTTTTTATGTCTTTTTGCACAAATTAACATATGTGAAGTTAATCCTTAGAACATTTAAATTTGTACTTACTACATAAAATCCGATACATAGTTGATAAGATGTTTCATTTTTTTTTCGCAGTTTAAATATAATTTTACACGTGTGATATTTTCAAAACATTTAAAAAGTTCTATGAAATGAGTTGTGCATATTTTCAAAATACGTAATAATGATGACAATGATATATCAATACAAAAAAAAGGCTAGTTAGTTGGATTTCACGAGAAACTAGCTGACATTCGCAGAGCATAATGATGAGTATTTTGTAACATATTGCACAATGCATCTTTTAAAAGATGTTCCTCTGTTTGTATTTTTTTAACTGAACCAACTGGTATGATTGAATATCCAAAAGAATATACCGGATAATTTAAAAATGGCCAAGAGCTTGTTAACTGGCTGACATCGATATAACTTTTATGAAAAGTACAACTGAATCTACACGAGATTCCTCTTAAAGAAAAGCAAGATTTAAATAAATTTAACATTAGATCTTTTAAAAAAAGCTAATAATGTATCAGCATACGGAATTTGAGTTGTAAAATATTTATGAAATAAATATTGTGGAATAATATTATGGAGTAATTACAGCTACTTCCAGGCCAGAAACAGTACCGGTTACTAACAACGACAATCGGATTCTTTTATTACTTATAACCTGTTTGATTATTAAAGAAATTTCTAAATTTCCTTAATAATTAAAGGCAAATAAATATATATATTATATAT